TGTGAATATTATAATACTTGGAAGAAATTGTTATGACTATAAAAACAAAAACATTACAATCATTATTATTTTATGCGGTATCTTACTTCCACCATTTTTACCAATTGTTGCTTTTATGTCAATAATACGAGAAAAATATACATAACATGATTAAGCTACGCTAATTTTTCAATTAACATACTTATGTTTAACCAATCAAGTCATTCTTTAAACCTAACATTTTCTTATAACTAATTACTACGCATTTCCATATCTGTTTAACATTGTTTCTCAATATGAGTGTTCAGTATCACCGTGTAGAACGCCACATATGGGTTTGTTGGCTATGAATGTAACGGGTAGGTGACTCAGTAGCGAAGAACAAAAAAAATCGAGATACGTTAAAGTGTGGAATGTGGTTGTTGTTTTATAATTTTGGCACAAACTAATTTATTGATTTAACTTGCATTTGAAACATCAGAGTCTGCGACAATAAAAAACGAGGATGAGTGTTTGAGAAAAACAGAGTACTGGGGACGTAAGACTCTTCTTGCTGTAAGCAGATAATTGGTATTCCGTGCAATGCATTATTTGAGGCTAACAATTCTCAAAAAGAAAATGCGATACCTTTACCTACCTCGATCGTTTTTCTTTTCTTCGAAGCCGCTGAACCAGTATCATACATAGCCACCCCATCAGCCCACAGGAGGAGCTTTACACAGTGAGCTTTATCCAGTGTGTGATATCTTCATCAATTTCAAAATGATTGCATTGATTGTTTATTTGATGGCTGCTTAATACACTGAAGACAAGCAGAGATATTTACGTTTATGCGCGATTGATATACATATCAAACTAATCAAACAAATCATTTCACTGGTTGTTATCACTGTGTTAGGTGCTTAAGGGAGAGCCATTTGATTTTTTTTTTAAATCACCTCATAGTATCCTATCATAATAATGATACAGCTTAATTTGTAGTGGATTGGTTCATATGAAGCAAGTGTGCTAGTTTTCAATTTTGGCAATTTTGATTGTTAAGAATTTTTTGGCATTTATTGTGTATAGCCCAATTGTTATCTCCGCACTCAGCGAAGGTGCATACATTTTGTTAGTTTGCTGATTGTCGTATTTGTATGGTGGGATACGCTGAAACCTGACTCAATGTTAACACTATACATGTACATTGTGCCATACGATTTTTAATTTTGATATTTCACCTATGGGGAATAATTGATATGAAATTTACATGATACGAGTTGTAGAGAAATTCAAATATGTGAGCTGAAAAAAGAATTATGAATGGGAGAAATAATATTTTGAATTTTCAGTTACTACAGTCAAATTTTGTACAGTATTTGGTGGAAGAAATTGACACTTGAATCAAAGCTCATATTCCTATTTTAACATTATATTTAAGAATTTAACAGATGGTGTTTGAATTTTTTGTATGGCCCTTATGACATTTTCTTTCGAATTAAAACTAATTATATAACATAGGTGTTGAGATATTCAGCGTGTCTATTTTCATATAAAATGCAAAATGGTGGGGTGGTTTTTTGAAAGAATATATTTAATATATTTCACTGTAATAAAGAACGAATTGTATTCAATTATTTTTCAGCAAATATATACCCAGATCTATGGAAACGATGTCATCTTTTTGCATATAACTACCAAGTCTTTGATTATTTTTTTGGAGTCAGGGGTTAATATGTTATATATGTATATATTTCTATTCGATTTTGTACGTCAATAACAAGTTTGATCCTTGATCTGAGTCAAGAATTATTGGCCATGATTTCATTAGAAGGTACATGAAGGGCTGTTCAAATATGAAAACGAACAATAAGGGCGAAGAGAAAACATCTTTCGAACATATATTTACAAGAGAAACAATTCAGGCTCTAGGGCCTTTACTACTTTTTTCTTGTATAGCTCTAAGCGTATCTACGTATTTTTTCATCCCTGGCTTTCAAATGTTTAGGTTAAGTTGGGGCGTACCTTTTGTACCTGATGAAGGAAAATCCAGAAGAGCGCATCGGACTTACGAAATTTTTGCCAACCTAGATACAAATATGTTGCTTTATGGAGAGATAAATCAGACTTTTGAAGAAAAAAAACTCTGAATAAAGAAAACTGACATTAGAAAGATGCATGATTATTTTTATTGATAACATATTTTTTACGTTTGGAGGACGTTTTTTCAACAAAAAGTCTTCATTCCATAGAGAAACAACTGTCCTCTTCTACTTGCCTACTTGTTCCTTTATTTATATGAGGCAGACTTCATACAGGAACTTCATAGGAAGAATGAAAAGAAGCTATCCTTAAACTTCACGTTCCGCTATAAAGATGCTGACTGTCCTCTCACTAAATGATCAAAGTTAGGAATGTTAAACGCATCTATCCCATCGAACTTGAAATAATGGATACAACATATACCGCTAAGTCAGCTTCATATCTTGACTTACATCTAAGAATTCACAATGAGGGTCGGATGAAAACAAAACGTTACGACAAAAGAGATGATTTCAGCTCCCCCATTGTGAACTAACCATTTCTATATCATGTTTATAGCAACATTCAAGCAGCGGCTGTATATTGAGTATCTATCTCCCAGTTAATACGATATGCCAGATGTTGCATTTCCTATTATGATTATCTTGATAGAGGGCTACTGCTTACAAGGAAGCTATTACACTAAGGGTTCCAAGTGGTGAAATTGAGGTCATCCCTTCGAAAATTTTACGAATGCCATCACCAGTTGGTTGACCTTTCTGGAATATCTGTTTCACAGATGACGACAGATAACTCCAATTGACGTAATAACAATCCTGTTTGTTTTCTTTTCCTAGAATGTGACATCAAGAAATAAGACTCATTACCGAATTTTTACTTACATGAGCAACACGACGAGTGTCACGTCAAGATCTACCTCTGAGATCACCCTCGTGTTTTGTGGGGTTCTTGTTGCTCCGTTTTTAGATTTCTATGTTATGTTTGTAGACTACTGTTTGTCTTTTGGTCGATATTGCTTTTTTGCCATGGCGTTGTCAGGTTGTGTGGAATCATGTGTTTGAATATCCATTTAGTATAGTTCGCCTCTCTTTTACCAGTAACAAAGATCACAATAACCAAGTAGTCAAAGTACAACTTTCTTGGTTTGTGTTAATTTTCCCGCCGAACAACGCTTTTTATCTCTGCTAAAACAGTTAACTATAGAATAACTAATCGAAGAATTCAAATATCGAAAAATAGTCAACGAGTGACCAAACAACACATTAATTCACAAATGCACGAACTATTCAGAACAATTGTTTTCTTTGTTTAGCCTGGCAATACATTTTTTTTTAAACTGAGAATTAGCATTAAATATTATCAGTGTTGTTCAGTCACGAGTTGAATATTTTTCGATATTTGAATTCTTGGATTAGTTATTCTTTTTATTACATTGACAATGGGCTTTTTAATGGAATTAAAGTAGAAAATGCAAGGAACTGTATCTTTTTCTACGCATTCACAATTTGCTTTGATGCGACGTCATCGACAACGTCTTGACAACACATATTGTTGTATGACGTCAGACGAGTGTGTGAAATTATCGGGGGTTTTTTTCACTAGGAAATCACAGTAATTCATTGCAACCAATGTAATAAAAATGAATAATAACAGAAATTGAGTCCCCTCAACCCGCCTCAAAATATTTTGTCAAAATTTAAAACACTGTTAAAGCAACTTTTTACATGAACGAATGTAGACTTTGCTTCTTTTTATCACAAAGGAAATCTCTTTAAATTTTTAAACACCAAACAAGCGGACATCGGTAAAAAAGCTATATGCAATTTTGTTTTTCAAATGTTCGTATTTAAGAAGTAAATGCTTCTTTTTGTTATTTTATTCGGGGTGTAAATTTAGGCTACATTACTTTATTGATGCTTAAATCTCATAAATCTCATAAAATCTCATAAATCGGGAATGGAATACAATCGGTAATATTACAGACCATTCGACAATACTGGTATTCAAAGACCTAAGACCGCGAAAAAATGTCGCTAGTGAGTTGAGACATAACATATGATATTGGTCAACCAATTCGTGATGATGACCGTAGAACTTATTTAGCGTCGAATTCATCGTTCTTCTCATAACTCTGTCGGAGCAGTTTTTGTATAAGGAACACACCCATGTTTATTAAGTCCGTAAACGCCGTGACCGAATCAAATTATTTCGGACTTCATACTAAAAAATGTGCATATGATTAAAACTTTTACTACAAAGAAATATTCAATTCTTATAATTACTGTTTTATTATCTATGTGTTATAATCATTTCTCATTAAATACTCCATTTGAGACAAGTCTAAGTGACGTAGACAAAAAGTGCTGCTGTTGGATGTAACGGCAGATAACGTTCACTCTGGTATGCAATTTGCATGTGTATTGTTCTGAAAGCCTATGGATTGTTTATGTGCTTTAACGCATTTAAGTGCCAGTCTTTGTAAGAATCAGGCAATTTTGAAAAAAATCAAAACTTGGCCGAAAAAAACCCCACCGACCTAACCATTCTATTATGAAGTTACCCTCACCCTGAGTGTCTGGTAATTTGAGAAATCTCCATATAACTTTTGGTAGGAATGATAGATAGCAAATTACGGAGTTAGCTCCCCTTAATTGTTAATTTCTAGTGCATTTTAACCAAATTATATCTTGAATTACCAGAACAGGAAAAGGAAATGAATGTTATATTCGTGCACCATTATACATTTTGAACATATATAAATGTCAACTTGAGTGAGGATTTGTTTGTCATGTTTTCAGATTGGCACTTTTATAAACACATAATCGGCTACTTTTTACATTTTTGATAAATAGTTATTAAATCATTTGTATATGTTAAATACATTTTGTGTATATCGTCCTAAGTGTAACTTAATGATTTGCAAATTCATCATAAATGAACTATGACTATATGTGACTTAACACATGATCAGCCACCTCTAACATTTTTTAACATTTGTATACAACTGGTTTTCTTCGTAGTAAATGTGGATTGTGGTTATTTGCCTACAAATTAGTATAGTAACCGGAGTGGATTAAGGAAGTAAACTGGAAGTATGGTATGATGAATATACTTATGTTAAAATGCATTTTACATAATCAGTTCACCACATCAATATTTAGTAGTTATGCAGCTTACAGACTAATTTGAGTACATTTAGTTTTGTAGGTACTAATACTCATGGCTTCAAGAAAAACATATTGCTTAGTGAAGACTTGATTTCGTAGTTTTCCAAAATTAAGCATAAAAGCTTTAAAAAATGTGAACTTCGTTGAAAATTAGATTTATTTGTTGGTCACCTTTACCAACGAAATGCACAAAAATAGTATTCTACGAATAATGACAAATCGATGGTACAAGTCGATATTTATTCAAAAGAGAGAAGCAAGTTAATAGGTTTTAAAGTCAGCGTGGAGATTTTATAATATACATTTCTCATAACTCTTTAACTTGACCCCTTGATTTTAACTGTAATTCTACCAATTAGAAAAGTAAATATGATGATAATATATTGACGTTCATACACATAAGGTATCCTTTGACATGGTTTCCATATAAGCAACATTTGTTTATGAATTCAATTTGTATATCTCTTTTAAGTTAGATCGGTACTTTGTGTCATAAGTCTTTTTGTTAGTTTTTATTTATTCTTTGCGTCGATATGATGAATCAATATAAAAAATAAGGAGATGTGGTATGATTGCCAATGAGATAACTATCCACCAAAGTTCAAATAAAGTGGATGTAAGCAATTATAGGCTTTAAGCCATTTTCAAGCCCTTTTCAACGGATTTTTATTGGTTGTTCTTATGTTATGTTTCCTTTCTAAAATTGTCCGTGTGTAGGTCCTTTTGGATTATATAGCTCTTCAACTGTTTCGGATCTTATACATTCTTGGCTTTCAAATATTCGGCTTCGATCGTTACCGATGAACGTAAATCCAGAAAAGCGATTCGGATGCAAGAAATTTATAACATGTTGTTTTCATTTTCTGATCTGTTCCACCACTATCACAGGCTAAGGGACAGTTGAGCGATCGCAGACATGTTAAACCCCACCACATTCTGTGTATGCCTGTCATAAGTCAGAGGCCTGGAATTCTGTGAGTGTCTATTGTATTTGTTTTTCGTTTATTCTTTTGGCTTTTGGTTTTCTCGTAAACAAAAGTTTACAGGCACATAAGGCTTCTAATAGCCTTGCTTACATCAATCCACTTAACTTGAAAACCCATTCGCCTTGCAGTTTGAGATGAGAAGATTGTTAAACACTGACATTTGAATACAAAGATTTCCTGTGGTGGCAATGTTTTTCACCCATGCGAGAGAAAACAAAACAAATGATTATAGTTGTTCGGGGACTTTCATATAAAAATTAGGAGATGTGGTATGGTTGGTAATATGACAACTGTCCACCAGAGTAAAAATTATGTGGTATTAAGCAATTTTAGGCCACCGCACTGCCTTCAAAAATGAGACAAACCAATACTGTGTGGTTGACTATAAAAGGACCTGACATGACAAACGTGAAACAATTCAATCGAGAAAACTATCGGCCTTATTTATAACAAAACAATTTACGAAAAACAAATATAACAGATATGAACCTACGACAACCACAGATCTCAACATGCTCATGAATTGGGACAGGCACGTACAGAATGTGGCAAAGTTAAAAATGTTGGTGAGCGCTATACCACCCTTACCTGGGACAGTGGTGTAACACCACAACATATTACATGAATAAACTGTAAAAATCAGTTGCAGTAGGCTTAATTCGAAAAATCGGTAAAAGGAACAGAAGTTACTAACATAAAACAATAGACAAAAAGCACCAAAATAAGAGTACTTGCAGTTACTGAAAGCTAGTTCAAAGCAGATTACAACTAATAAGTAAATTATGTTCTTCCAGACTAAAGTACAATCAGTACAAATCCAACGGATTGAGTGAAAAACGCATGACATTGTGGAAGTCCAAAATATAAGTCTCAGTATCGAAAGGATGTAGGATCATGAGTTCGCATAACTGTATATATAGCAATATATATTTAGTTATGTTTTAATTAAAAAAAACAAAACAAATGCATTGGTAGTACCAATAAGCACATTATTAAAAGATGTTACTACTGTCTTAAATTGATAACCTACAAGAACAAGTTTATTCAAAGGAACAATTAGTTTACATGGATCGTGTCTAAATGTGTGGGCTTTATAAACAACATCACCTTTTTTATGAGAATTCTATATACAGGTAAAGCCAAACTTTCAAACCAAATCTTTATATCGATGAAAGAATTTGGTACATGTTAAAATTAATTTGTGGTAACGAAATCCGTGACTTAAAAATTTACCAGTTATACCTAAATTATTGAATTCTAAAACGCGACTACAGGCGTAGCGAAAACGTTGTGAAATATACACACTGTAAAAAGGGACCAAAGGCACATCACCGTCCAAAAATGTAAAATTAACAATCGGAACGAAAAATCGTCTCTTTTGTTATTAATTTAAGTATAGAGTTTCCCTGGTGAAATCGAAATGTCCAAATCTAGAAAAGGACACTTAATGCTGTCTGTATTAGATTAATTTAGAGTAAGTTTCTTTGGGTAAATCTCAACAGTAAAATTATAAAATTCTTGATTATTTAAAGCTAAAATATCAAGGTAAATGTTTTTTATTGATAAATTATAAATATAATTTAAACGGATCTTTACTCAGTTTGCCCATTAATTGTAATTCAAAACAATACAGGAACAAGTTTGATATTAAAGGGGCATAATTGGTGTACATAAGAATACCTACAACCTGTCAATAAACTTTATTGTCGAAACGTGCATAGATATGGTAAAGGAGAAAATTTACAGCTTAAACATTTCATCATTGTTACAGTTCCAGTAAGTGTATCTAGCATAATTTCCTTTTTCATTACAGAAGAAGGCTTTATATGAGTTGGACCAACTAAATCGACGACCAGATTTTGTTTGGTAGTGTAGTGTACAAAGTCGAAAAATCATACCTGTCAGCCGAATTGAACGGACCATCAAAAGCACATAGTTTATCAAAAATATCCAAAATGTTTTTGACACTCCAAAAAAAGTTATTTCCATTATTTTCATATGCTTAATTACCGAAAGTTCTGAGAAGAAGTAAGGGAACTAGTTAACAACACAGACAGATTAGTCGTAAAACACTTACTAGAAGCTGAGATGAAACGAGATTTGGGCGTATTACTTACCCTATAGCTTTTATTAATTTCTAAACTATTTGCAAAATCTGATATGCGAATATTCACAATATTTAGAAATTTATTTAAATAAGAATCAAAAGACTTTTAGTCATTTTTAACAATAAAATGAAAGAGCATCTTTTATGACCTGACGACTCTCTTTCAATTTTATTTTCGACGGTGGACGATATTTTGCATACGTCTCTTGCATAATATGGATACAATTTGCTTAATACTTTCATAGAAAATTACAGAAATGTAATTTTAAATGATTTTTTTTTTTTTTCAGTTGGAAAAACTCAAATCTCAATAACTTAGGACCCTACGATCATTGCCAATTGTGTTTGAGGGAGTTACAACCTTAGTTTTATCCAATTACTAAGTTTATACAAAATGAAAACAACAATTTATCAAGTTCGTGCTTCCAAAGCGTTTTTCTGGATTTACCTTCATCAGAAATGCTCAAAGCTAAATATTTGAAAGCCAAGGATGTATTAGAACCAAAGCAGTTGAAGAGCTATATGACCAAAAAGGACATAAAATAATAGCCAAATCCATCTAAGGTCAACTTTGCCTGAGGGAGTTGAAACATTAGTTTCTAAATAATTTCTAAATTGATAAACAGATAATTTAAGAAAGATTTGTTATAAATCATGCCAGTACCGAGGTATTGACTACTGAGCTGATGATACCCTCGCAGACTGATAATCTACCGGTAGCGGTATCGACCCAGTGCTGTAAAAAACGAAAAAATTTCATACGATCGAAGCGCTTAACTGAATTTCCCTTTATTATGAACGCAGAAAATCAAATATTTAAAAGCCAATGTTTATAAAATATGAAACCGATCATTTAAATCATGCCGGTATTGATGCACTGGGAACTGAATATTTGGCAAATATACATAGTTGATAGGTATAATACTTATTTCCTACACTATTAGTATTTTCCGTACGTTCTGGTGGGGAGAAACTGATGAAAATTCTATATGCCATTTTCCAGTTTGCATTGTTTAGATGAATAGTGACGAAAAAATGTCTAACGGAAAACCATCTGAAGGTGATTCATTATCGCAAACTACATCAAATGATGAAGACCAAAATTCAGAAGAATTCATGACCATGTTGAGACAATACCAACAAATAAAGCCAACCCTGTCACCTACATTTGTAAAGAATGAGACGTTAAGGTTGTATGGAATGACAGTAGTGGAATATCAGGAATTAGACAGCTATGATGACATTAACTACCATATCACCGTAGATCAAGCCGTCAATAACAACTATATAAATGACTTCCATCCAGCAGGCTACGTACTGAAGGTCCTTAACGCAAAGGACTCACAGAACGCCGCCCTTATAGGTAAGCCACGTAAGCGATAACACATTTTGTACATGATTTTTCATCAACATTAAAAAAACTAATATGAATTCATTTTACCTTTTCGCAGTTATATCGGTCACACAAAAGATCATTTTGCATTATGGAACTGATAATGGTTAAAATTTTTCGTTATTTCTTAAATTTGAGTTAACATTTCATGGAATAAATAAAATTGTACTCTTTGTTATAAGTTACTCTAAGATCTGCTTATCCTTCCGGAGTACCTGAGATCACCAGTTTTTTGGTTGGGTTCGTATTGCTCAGTCTTTAGTTTTCTTTGTTTTGTTTTGCGTACTGTTGTTTGTCTGTTTGTATGTTTGTCTTTTTCAGCAATGGCGTTGCCAGTTTATTTTCGACTTACGAGTTTGATTGTCCCTTTGGTATCTTTCGACTCTCTTTCTTACAGTGCTGTGCTTTTTTGGAGAAATTTTGGGGTTTTTTTGTGTTCAAGTAGAAACAGTTTTAAAAAAAACCTACTCTATCAAGTGTTGACATTGGGTTTTCTTACTGAGATATGCTAAGATACCCCAAAGCAGGTGTTTGGAACTTTACCCTTTTAAACAACATTTATAATGGTTCGTAAAAAAATATGCTTTGTTTTTTATGTCCTTTTGGTTTTACGCTTTCAAACTAATGTTTTGGGGGTATTTGACTTTTGATTCAAATTTTGATATCAAGCTAACCTGATAAAGGTTATTTCAAGAACAGGTGTTGTTCGCCCAAACATATGTCGTGTTTCATTTTTTTTTCTCTATTTATTATCAAAAGCTTTTGACAAATGTTCATGAAAAATATTCTTCAGATACCAGTAATCTATCAACAAATCTTATCACATAACTATGTTTATATAAAATAAAGAGATGTGATATAATTGTCAATGAGACAACTGTTGTCCATCAGGGACCAAGTGACGTGGATGATAAAACAAAACACAAAACTGTACTATGTTTGCAACAATAAAAAAGCTAAACTGTATGTAAAAGTAACAATCATATTTAATGAATACTAAATATTAATTAAAGTCAAATAAAACTAAATAAATAAATAAAAAGAAACAATAGACATGAAAAAAATCTTTTTAATAAAAATACACAATTACAAAAAAACATTCCTCTCCTACTTGCAGTTCATTTTCACAAATCAGATTACTGTAGATTCATTTATTTCCGTGGGTACCAATTTTTGTGGATTGAGGAAAAAATTGTATTTCGAGGTTATTTGATTTCGTTGTTTTACAAAAATCTCCATACACGCCTTATAAAAGATTGAACTGTGTTCAACATTCAAATTTATGATTCACATGTACCCACAAAATCCACAAAAAATAATATCTCACGAATAATAATGCATTCACAGTAGAAAAAAATATGCATATCAAATTTACGACCAAACATTTTAATGACCTCCATGATCTTCGATTCTCATTGCAAGTGGTTTCTATTTCTCTACTTAAAATTTTCATTGGGTAATTCTTGTTGCAGGTGAACAATTATATATTTCTTTCAATCAAACAATTAGCAATTGATAGTAGAACAAGAATGTGTCCATAGTACACGGATGCCCCACTCGCAATATAATTTTCTATGTTCCGTGGGCCGTGAAATTGGGGTTAAAGCTCTAATTTGGCATTAAAATTAGAAAGATCATATCATAGGGTACTAAGTTTCAAGTTGATTGGACTTCAACTTCATCAAAAACTACCTTGACCAAAAACTTTAACCTGAAGCGGGACAGACGGACGGACGAACGGACGGACGGTCGAACGAACGGACGCACAGACCGAAAAACATAATGCCCCTATGTGGGGCATAAAAACAAAATTCATTGTTATGCATTGGAAGCAATAATGATTAACAAAAAACAAAATAAGAGAAAAAAAAAATTAAAAGACACCGTATCATATCTTGTTTACTTTTAATCACAACGTATAGGAGACGACACAACATCAATAATACGATATGATAGACTATGAATAATATTAATTATCAATAAAAATATCCGGGAACATTTTGTGGCCTAAACTCTGAAAAATTAGCTATATTGATAAAATGTGTTCCCTGTTATAGTGTGCATTGTTTGTTTATTTCCCAAAAGAGGCCATGCATTTAGTTCTGGATCACCTGAGGAGGAAATGTTTTCCTGTACAAGCATTTGTATCAAATGTTTATGGAGACATGTGGTCCAGTGAAACAGTTGTCAATGAATTTGGTAATTATACATCATTTATTTAAAAAAAACACTATAAGAATATGTTTGAGAATTTTCCAAATCACAACAAATCGGCTTACTATAATTATAACTAACATGTATAAAGTTTAAGCACTTTGTAATAGGTATATTATTTCATATCTATTTATTTTTTGTATTGTTAAGCATGAAAGCTCATCTTTATCAGTATGATCTGCTAACTCGTTCCGGATAACATAAGTTCTCCCTCGAGTTTTTGGTGGGGTTCGTGTTGATTAATCCGTAATTTGTTGTTCTGACATGATTTATAGCATACATTTCTTAATTGTTTCCTTGATAAATTTATAAATTATTAAGAAACTAAAGTGGATTTACGAATTATCTTCAGGTCCCTTTTGGTCATATAACTCTTATCAAATACTTATACATCCTTGCCTATTAATCTTTGTGGGTTTGAGCATTCCTGGTTAAGGTAAATAAAAAAAAAACACTTCAGACGCATATAAGATTTAAACGGTGTTATTTTCAATTTATTGTGTAATGTTTACTATTGACATCTTTCTTTTTGACATGATGTTGTCTGGTTTTTATGATTTCACCTTGGTATTTTTCCTTCTTTTGCTACATTAATTTATTTTAGGTTATCTTAATGCTTTACATACTAAGGTTTTTCTACTACAGGAATAGATTACCTTAGCTGTATTTAACAATACGGCTTTTGGAATTTTGGGTATTGAGCTCTTCAACTTCGTAATTTATTTGGCCTGTTTTAGTTTTTTTATTCGAGCGTCACTGATGAGTATTTTGTAGACGAAACGCGTATCTTGTGTAAATTGTTTTTAAGCCTGGTATCTATGATGAGTTTATTTACAGGAACCAAAAAGACATATATTGTTTCAATGTTGACGTACCTGGAAGGCAAAACAATGACGAGTAAACAAATAAATCCTTCTTCTCTATACAATATTGGAATATATGCTGGATTATTACAGAAAGCATTAGAGGTATCATAATTTTTTTCAAAAAAAAGACAATTTTTACCTTTCGATCAAATAGGATTTGAATTACAAATGTATAAAACAAAATAAAAGAAAGATAACCCCAACGTAGTGTTGGGGTTATCTTTCTCCTCACACACACACTACACTAAAACAAGATTGATATTAGGATGAGATACGGAAATTTATCATTCTACCCCGGGGCATATAGTGATGAACATGTTCATTCGTCCGTTCAGCTATTCATCCATCAGTTACACTATAAAAGTCTTTTGGTTTTCGAATAAAAATTGAAATTCCGCGTCTAGACATCTTTTGATATTTAACACACGTGTCATTTAGATCTGTTGAAGCGGAATTTCAATATTATTGAAATTCCGCTTCAACAGATCTTTTGAAATTTAACACATTGTCAAAGACCATAAAATTCAACTCAAGTTTGATTTTGACATGTATTTGAATTTACCGTTCGAAAATAATGACCCTTAAGTGTTTTAAAAACTTTGGATTTATGGGGTTTTCGGATTAAAAATAAAATATCTTTAGATTTTAACACACTGTCACTCTATGTCAATAAATCTATCGAAGGTCAATTTTGATTTTGACGGATTTTGCCTTTACTGTTAAATTATCTTTAAAATATGTTTTTTTTTTATAACAAATGCCAGATGACAGATTCCTGAGTTTTAACAAAAATGTCAAATACCATAAACTGCCGGTGAAGTGTGCTTTTGGAGGATTTGCGGATAAAAATGTTATGTCCCGTAGTTTTCTTTGATAAAAGATAAAGGGGGAAGCGGGAGGTATGGATGATATATAAAATTAGAAGATCAGGATGACTGCTAATAAGACAACACTCCACCAGAGACCAAATGACATAGAAGTTAACATACCGCATAATCAGTTATAAAAGGCCCCGAATTGAAATGTAAAACAATTCAAACGAAAAACTAATGGCCTGATTTATGTACAAAACAATGAATGAAAAAACAAATATGATATACATCAACAAACGACAACCACTGAATTACAGGCTCCTGACTTGGGACAGGCACATACAGAATTTGGCGGGGTTTAACATGTTTGCGGGAGCCCAACCCTTCCCCTAAACCTGGGACAGTAACAGCACAACATATTAACAAACTATAAAAATCAGTTGAAAAGGGCTTAACTCATCAGATCGAAACAAAGCAGAAAAACAAGTAACAAAAAACACAGAACGGACGTTTCACTTAGTATAGATTTTTTTTCCCCTTTTTTTTCTTTAAAATTTTCCATTTTAAATTGGTTATTTCTGATTAATATATAAAAGCAAATAATAATGATATGGTTTGAATAGGTAAATTAAAAAATTTTAAGTTCTTAGACCACATTCATTCTGTGTCAGAAACCTATACTGTGTCAAATATTTAATCACAATCCAAATTCAGTGCTGTATCAAGCTTGAATGTTGTGTCCATACTTAATACCCCAACTGTTCAGGGTTCGACCTCTGCGGTCGTATCAAGCTGCGCCGAGCGGAGCATTTTATTTGTGTTATTGACAATTATTTTGTAACTGTAATAGATAGAGAAAAACATTTAATTTCAAAAATGATCGGAAAGACAAGACCTACAAATAAGTAGATATTGCTGAAATGGTTGGTCAACTCTTTGTACGAGTTTGTGCCCTTAAATGACATTTTTTTTGCATATTTGCCTATTATCTTGAAAACTGTAATAGATAGAAAATTTAAAAGAAAAAATGATCAGTAAGACAAGATCTGCATAGATGAAATTGTCAATTTTCTTCTTGTAGGAGTAATTACCCTTAAATGAAAAGTTTTTCACTTTTTCATTATTATACGACCGCAAAAAAATTTTGTGATCGTATATTGGTATGACGTTGGCGTCGACGTCGTCCGAAGACACATTGGTTTTCGCACTCTAACTTTAGTTTAAGTGAATGGATCTCTATGAAATTTTACCATAAGGTTCAATACCACAAAAGGAAGGTTGGGATAGATTTTGGGGGTTATGGTACCAACAGTTAAGGAATAAGGGACCAAAAAGGGACCAAATAAGCATTTTTGTAACTTCCAGACATAAATTGTGTGTTAGTGTATGGATCTCTCTGACATTGTACCACAAGGTTCCATATCACAAAGGGAATGCTGGGATTGATTTTGGGGGTAATTGCCTCAAAATTTTAGGAATTAGGGGCCAAAAAAGGGGCAAAAAACAAGCATTTTTCTAGTTTCATGACAATAACTTGTGTGATAGTGTATGGATCTTTCTGAAATTGTACTACAAGGTTCCATATCACAAAGGGAAAGCTGGAATTGAGTTTGGGAGTAATTGCCCAAAACGTTTAGGAATAAGGGGCCAAAAAAGGGCCAAAAATAAGCAATTTTCTAGTTTCCAGAGAATAACTTGTGTTCAAGTGCATGGATCTCTCTGAAATTGTACTGCAAGGTACCATACCACAAGGGGAAGGATGGGATTGATTTTGGGGGGTAATTGCCTCAAAATTTTAGGAATTAGGGGCCAAAAAAGGGCAAAAAACGAGCTTTTTTCTAGTTTCAGGACAATAACTTGTGTGTAAGTGTATGGATCTTTATGAAATTGTACTACAAGGTTCCATATCACAAAGGGAAAGCTGGAATTTAGTTTGGGGGTAATTGCCCAAAACATTTAGGAATAAGAGGCCAAAAAGGAGCGTTATCGCAGTTACTGACAGTTAGTTAAAAGCCATTAACAACTAATAAAAAAAATCATGTATCTAAGACAAAAACAAGAATATCATTAACAGTCAGAGAAAAACAAAACATTGTGCAATGCAAAAATATAGATATCGACAAATTGTAGCACCGTGAATTTGCATATGCATATGTATTTAACAATAATATTGGTTTGGTCTTAATTTACTGATAACAAAATCAATATTTATAACAATAAAAACAATATTCAAAGATCTAATTACAGTGTTGAATTGGTAACATTTTAGAATAAGTTTATTTAAAGGATCGATAAGTTTACCCGGATCGCATCTTAATTTCCGGGCTCGGTAAACAACATCTCCGAAAAAAATAGGATGTGCTTTCCCAGTTTGAAATAAGTTTTCTACAGGTACAGCGAAACTTCATAACCAAATCTTTGTATCTAAGGAAGAATTTAGTAAATGTTTTAAGTAATTTGTGGTAAAGAAATCCCTGACTTAATAATTTATCATTAATACATAGATTACGTTCATTGAAATCCAAAACGTCACTACAGCGAACGAGTATATAAACACCGTAAGATGGTGCCAAATAAACATTTCTACTTGACATAATGTTTTTCTATCTTAAACAAAAAGTGATTAACTATTATGTACAGGTCATGTTCGATTTTTACAGATGACATTTGGGGATGCCACTAAATTAACTAATTCTTATATTTAATATTGGTTTAGATATGGTCATCTATCTATGTTTCAAAAAATGTAGACTGTTTTTTACTTTAGGCAGGTTCACGTCTGTTTTTAATAAATGTGATGCACATGTATTTAGAACAGTTATTGATACTGACAATCTTTTTCAAGTATTTAAAACAGACCTATCAATTACGATCCTTTTTTGTTCTATTACTTTTTACCTGAAGTAAATAAGTAAATTTTGACATATCTTCCTTTCAAAACATTTTGAAAGGCTTTGAAATCTTCATAAGTTACAACAATTGGAAATTTCTATTATACGCTTCATTGAATGACCATCTGAACTGTATGCTAATAAATATAAGAAGATGTGGTATGAGTGCCAATGAGACAAATTTCTATCTAAGTCACAATTTGTAAAAGTAAACCATTATAGGTTAAAGTACGGCCTTCAACACGGAGCCTTGGCTCACACCGAACAGCAAGCTATAAAGGGCCCCAAAAATGACTAGTGTAAAACCATTCAAACAGGAAAACCAACGGTCTAATCCATATAAAAAAACGAGAAACGAGAAACACTTATGAACCAAATCAACAAACGACAACCACTGAACAACAGGTTCTTGACTTAGGACTGGTGCAAACAAATGCAGTGGGTTTACACGTTTTAACAGACGCCAACCTTCACCCTAACCTGAAACAATAGTGTAACATCACAACATAGAAAGACACACTATAAAATATCAATTGAAATGGCTTAACTCAATCAAAAGACATATTAACAAAAACAAGTAAACATACACTGAACGAATAAAATTGATCTATGACACAATGTAAATACAAAATTAATATAAAAAAAAAAGGGGGGGGGGAGATGTAAAACAATACAAGAAAGACAACCATAACCTTGGACAAAATGCCGCCAAATAAAATAACGTACACATGTAAATAAAAATAATTTTGTTGTAAGGTATACATGGAATACGGAAATATCTTTACTGTTGTTAATAGTACGAGAACAGAAGTGAAAATTTATCGTCATACCAAACACTTATCAAATAAATAGTATGTTATTGGTCAACTAATTTCCATATCGATGTTCAAAGAGATTGAGGAACAAGTATTTCATTACCAACGAGTCGATTACAATGAGCCAAGAAAAGCTAACAGTAAATCTAACCTCAGAAAATTAATGTGCATTTTTTAGATAGGCTATGTCAACTGTTTCATGAGACAATTAGCGTAAACAATATTTTATTATGAAATCTACAAATTACAATATATATTCACATTCACAAATAGGATTCAAAAACAAGCAACAAGTGCTTATGTTATTCTATCTCCTTGTTAAATTGGATTCAATATACAAATATAAATCAAAACTACATGCTCTGTTACATAATAAAAATAAGATAATGTCAGTTGAGTTTGATAATGAACTGAATGAAATGCTTACAGGTGTATTGTGTGAATTATTAGTTTGTAAACCATTTAGATTTAATATTGAACCTTTGTACCGTAAGAAATAAACTAATGTTTTCTTCATTTGAAATCATATTTGAGCCGTTTATTAGTAATTCAGTGTCCATTGGTACTGTTAATTGTATCATTTCTTGTCTTATGTTCGAATATAATGGGCAAAATAATAAAAAATGCGAGTTAGTTTCCAAGACACCACAGCGACAGTGAGGAGAAGAAACTAAGTTTCTAGGAAACAAGTGACAGTTTAAAGAACTACTATTCATTCTTACTCGCGCATGACGGATTTGACCTTTTCGACATCCAGCATAAAAGTATAAAGGGCTCGATCGTTCTGATTACGAATATGTTTCTTAAATATAGATAGCGATTCACAATTTCTTACACTTAATGGTAAATTATTCCATAATTTGATGGATGACGGAAGATAATAATCTTAGTACAGTTTTGTACGGGATTTCACCTCTAATATATTATTACTTTGTCATAGCCAGGCAATAAATCTTGCAAATATTTTGGGGTTTTGATATTAACAATTTTATGAAGCAGTATTAATTTGTGGTTACTTCTTCGATCTGAAAGTTCCTCCCATTGGGTTTCTTTATATAACATCGAAGTACTTGTGAGTTTAGTCCCCCCTGTAACTATACGAGCAGCGTCCAACTGCATGTTTTCGAGTTTTTCATTAAAGTTTGATTTCCTGAATCCCAGATAACATCAGCATGAGACAATTCGTAACTTAATTTTCTTTTTCAAATTACACAACTAAACCATTGAAAATATTCATTAGAATTTGTTATACATGTACGTATATTCACATGTCATTGTTTAAGAAGATATTTATTTCTTATTACAATCTTCGTTTTGCAGGATGTTGATAATGATTTCCTGAGAAAAAGGGAAAACCAATGGAATTTACTACAGCTCCCAAAGCTTGTGAAATTTGCACCTGTTCTTGAACACAAAAAAGAGTTCCAGTTACTGAAAACGATCATGACAGATTTCAAGACAGAAGTCTTCCCAGTTTTGGAGCATCTAACGAAAGGTAAATGAGAAAATCATTTAACAAAAAATAGAAAAAACCAAACAAAAAGAGGAAACCGTCATTTACAAATATGGACAGTGTCGGATATTTTACTGCAACATTTATTTAGCGTCAAAGATACTACACAGAAAATATTAAAGCTCTTTTTCATATTAGAGCTTTTTCAAGCAATGCATGCTAATGGACAACTGGAAACTTGCAATGACAAAAAGAATCATGTAGGCTTCTGTGGTGTTAACTTCATGCAGAAACTTATCATCTGCACTTTATTTTTCAGGTATCCATCAGCATTTAGTTCTATAAAAGGATACTTAGTTTCAAGAAAATAGGATGAAAGTTTAACTGAAAAATTATTATTGAATTAAAAGACACCATCAATATATTTAAAAGTTATTTCGCTAAATGCATTCCATTCTTGATTGCCTTAAGTCTTGTATTTTATTCATATAAGCATAAGAGGAACAAAATAAGTACTCATTGGAATGCTTAGTTAGTAAAATTAACTTTCCGCTAATTTGAACAAATTATGACAAACATGGTGATAATTTCCACTTGGTGTATAGTTAGAATCATCGTAATTTTCTACCTAGAATATAAAAAAACATTTTCCATTCTTAGATTATAAGCTCTGTTTGGTGAGAAACCTGGAATTGGGACTGGCACTGTTGAAATTTGTCTTTTTAATATATTAGATATCAGGCGATTGCCACAGATACATGTAACTTTCCTCTGAATTCCAGTTTTTATTCATGGCGACTTGAACGATGGTAATATACTTGTTAAAGACGTGATGGGGCGGACAAATATCCCAGAGGAGAAAACAACATATGACATTGTGGGCATTATCGACTTCCTTGACATGCAGTACAGTTATACTATAGTTGATATTGCCATTTTAATAGCACATATGTCTGCTGAATGTACATGTATGGCCCCGATAGATGTTGGTGGACATGTTTTAGCTGGATATTTGACGGTAAAAGAATTGACCCACAATGAAAGAGGTATTCTCAGACTTTTAATTTGCAGTCGATTGGCACAACTGGTAATATTGAACGAATTTACTCTTTTAATGGATCCACACAATAAGAGTGTACTGTCACACCTTGAGAATTACAAACGAGTAATTTGGAAATTTTGCCAAACGTCAAAAACTGAACTTTATAGAAGATGGAATGAAGTATTGAGAGATTACAACATTGGAAATATGTTTACTATTTTGTAGAAACAATTCAATTTTCTTTTGTAATTCTAAAGATAAATAATTATGTGACATAAACTATAATTCTAAATATGCTAAATGGATGTATTTGGTTTTCTTGTGTGTCCTAGTAGAGTGAGTTTGGACTGAACCGATCTTAATAGATAGTAAATGAGTAAATCATACTTTGCAAGGAAGCAATCGCAAACCACAAAAACAGAAACAATATGACATGACAAAACTGTCCAAAACAACAAACATTCAACTATGCACACAACACTAAACAGAAAACCAAGGATTGAAAAACACGAACACCACTTAAACCCGGGATTTATTTCGGATGTTCCGGGAAGGGTAAACAGTTCCTACATTCATAATTCAAAAAGTAAAAAACTGACGTATGAGTGTATCGCTGTAAAATTAATTATGACAATACACATATAGAACGCTTGGTATACCATCAGCTAAAACTGTAAATGTATGTCATTACAAAAGTCTAGCTGATGATTTTGCAGTTAGCAGTTATAAGTTAAAAACATATAGCGTGGTAATAAAAATATGTTCGGTACACATCACTGAGACAGCAATCGAACAATCAGTTCAAGCAAAGACATCTAGAGGTTAATATGCGGTTTTCATTAATATTTAAGTTCTATATCAGGTGGTAAACTCATACAATATACTTCTTCTCTGTAATTTCCACATGCTTTACGTTATATTTGTGGCCTGGTTTCATGTGTTTGCCTATGTAAATATAATTTCTACAAATCGTAAAGATGCTTAAGGGGAGGAGTCAGACTGTTCTACAAGTACAACTACAATCCCAGGAATAAATTACCTTAGATGTATTTGGCAAAACTTTCATGAATTTTGGGTCCTCAATGCTCTTCAACTTCGTACTTTATTCGGCCTTTTAATCTTTTTTGATTCGAGTGGCACTGATGAGCCTTTTGTGAACAAAGCGCGCGTCTGGCGTACACATTTCAAATCTTGGTATCTATGATGAGTTTATTTTCACTCGGTGACGTCATTCCGTACAATAACTTCCCATTGAAAACAAGACAAAGAACAATGCCACATGTACCAATTCTTTCAAATTGATCTCTGTTTTGAACAACAGTCACCTGCAAATTTTGTTTAAATTAAACATTATTAATCATATATAGTACATACGTTTGAAAACATGCATTTTCTCTAAGTTTTACAAAAATTAGCAATGATCACTTGTCATAATTACATCTTTTACAAATTCTTTTCAAACAATTAAAAGACTGCCAAATTAAAGCTAACCCGGATACATCGTCAAAATTAAACTTGACATCGGTATTTTATCTGCCGACCGATAAATCGTCCGCCTGCCCGCCGTTCTACCCAGAATTTCATCATGACAATTTTTGTTTATTACACAGAGTTTTATTAGACGTGTTAAGAAAGGGATTTAAATACTGCGCTGATGTTAAATACCAATACCGATACAAGATTTAAGTGTGGACTTTCTCAGAATGCAATTGAATTGAAAAGTATCCCGGCGTAGTATAGTTTAGGTTTGCGATGGGTTTGATACAATTTGAAGCAAACGGTTAACTTCGACTCCAAATTTTAAGACGTGCATTGGCCTTACGTAGATCTTAATACATTCATTTGCATTTTTGTTTGATTTAGGAGTGCAAAACAAAACTTAAAAAAATATATGTAAGGGTCAAGAATGGGAATGACGATTTTACGACCACAAGTTCAAATATATATATTAAATGATATGAGTAGAATATGTTTAATAGTCAAATAACTCAGTTTGACTCTCCACAAGTCCAGAACACAATTTTGAATTTTGAATAGGGGTTTATTCTATTATTTTATTTTTGGTGGAAAAAAAGGGGTATACTTTAGTCAATCAGAATCATGTTTTGCCTGCATAAGACTTCTTATAAAAGAAGGGAAAAAATACCAAGGAGGCAATCGAAAATAATTTGTCTAATAAAAACATTCAACACTATAGCAAAACAAAAATCAACGAAATGACAAACACATTAACAAAAACATTTGAAAATCATAGATAAATAAATACCTGAATACGTGAAGAGATATATGAACAAATGGAACCTAAAAAGTAACCACATTCCCTTCCTCTTCTTCTTTATTGTGATATTACGCGACTTTCACGTGAACAACTTGCCACGAACTATCAGCAGGATCTACTTATAAATATGGAAGACCTGATTTCTCATCGTCTTTTGGTTTGGTTCATGTTGTTCAATTCGTTCTGTGTATTTTTAACACCTTCAAATGGTTGAAAACCGTATATTTATCTGTATAGAATGTTGTTTATTTTTGTGCTGTTCGTAGCTCTATGGTTCACGTATAAACCAAATCATATTCGTTCGTCCTGACAAAACACGAGATGTGGATAATGCAAAATATTGGACACTGGAATTTAGGCAAACAAAAATCATTTATCAATGTTAAGCTTTTGTAAGAGAAAAATTACCCATGACAATTCACTATCTTATCATGGAATAGAAAAGTATGTTTTGTAAATGTTATGATCTGAATGGAACTGTTTTGCAATTTTGATTTGATTTTTGTCTTGTATGTCTCCACAAAGTACCCACAACCCTAAATGTTAAAAACGTCTGATATTTTTTAGCGTGTTCGACATAAACTTGACATTCTGAAATTCTTCTATTTAGTTTTTTGCATTTTATTTTTTTCCTTTTCGGTTTTGTCTTACTTGGTGTCTCCTTTATGGCGTAACAATTGGTGGAAGGTTCGCATAAATCTTATCACATAAATTAACACAGTTTGGAGGAAAATCCAATTCCAAGTTGGTGCCAATTCTTGAAAGAAGGTTGTCTTGCTGCGCATCGTTTTAATGTTCAAGAAAACCATTTTTCATGAGCCGTATGTCATTCGTATTGTCTAGAACTATCTGGGTATGAATGCAATGAATGGACAGACAGACGAAAGAACGGACGAATGGACCCATCCACCCATCACTATATATCGTCCAATTTAGAAAGCGGAGTGTATATAGTGAATATTAGGCAAAACAAAATGAAGGAAATCGGAAAACAATTGCTCGATATATAAATTAGCAGGACTTGAAAGAGGTGAAAATGAATATTCCATTCTCAAAATATCCTCCTGACACAAAAATAATAAAATTTACTTCTCCATATGAAAGTTTAACGCCACTTTCAACAGTATCTCAATTTAATCGTGGTGTTCTGTTTTGTTGGTAGAGGAAGCCGTGATACAACGAAGAAAAAAACTTCCGACCCTTCACTAAAACGTTAATTTAACATGCTTGAATAATGCCCAAATGTGGTAATCTTTTCAAGCTTAATTTGATAACCTATTTTGTTCACTAATTGACAAAAGTTGATAGAAAGAAAATGTCAGTTAATATTTTTTTAGGTATTGTCCCTTTTTAGCAATACATTAAATTTCCAGAATGACCTTTCTAGATAAAATAAAAAGATAAAGATAATCAAATTGAATACTCTTCTGTTTCATTCTTTTTTTTTCTTTTTATTTTAATTGTCAAGTACACAAATTTCTAGTTTTTTTATTTGAATTTTAAGCTACACATTCTCTGTTCTAGAAAATGATACAAAATAAGGAATTTTGGTATGATTACCAAAGTAGACAACTTTCTACCAGACAATAAATGACGTAAATGTTTACAATTATAGGTCACCGTATAGCCCCCAACAAGGAACAAAACCCATCCCGCGTAAAAGCTATGAAAGGCCCCGACATGAAAAGTATATTTTAAATAAATTTCAAATTAACGAACATTTTGAACAAAGATTGATGAGAGTAAAAAATCTGATTCGGATGTGATTTGATTGCAGTGGGTTTTTTTATTCATTTATTTTGATCACTTTGCAGATTTTCCTTGTAGTCGTTCAACAAAATAGTAAGAAACTGGGGAACAACGATCTTAAACCGAATCGATCACTACTATGAAACAATGCAGTTTATGATGATAATATTAATAATGATCGTGTTGTTTTGCTGGATCCTCGTCCATGTATTGCAAAATAAATTGTTATTATTTAATTGTTTAAAAATCATTTCAGTATTATCAAACAAACTCATGCAGGTAACTTTAATTAATGAATGATTAGCTGTACTTTTTGAGATGGTCCCCATTGTAGCCTGTAGTGGTATCAGCGTCAAAATCGTATTGACTTTCCTAACACGTCTATTATTAAATGGTGCAGGCCATTTTCCTTTGATTTGTACCACTCAGACACGGGATTAAATGCCGAAAGTTGTTGAAAACCAAGTGGAGTTTTTCGAAAGGAATTTAGCAATAACTTCTCCATATGGCCACATCATTTGCGCATAAGATTAAAATTTCAACAATTAAAATGCCGTTATAGACTTTTTAAGAAAAATAATTGAATATTGTGCATGCTTTAGTTAAATTCAGATTGCAGAATTGGTTGATTGATTTTTGTGTAAACGTCTTATAGCAAATATTCCATGTATTATATTCAAGACAAACATTAAAGACGTCGTCAACCAAAGAGCAAACCGATTTTGAGTTGTATGGAATATATTCTTAACTTTAGAGTCAAAACCATTTGGCTCAATCCACCTAAAGTAAATCCAACAGCTTTGTCCCTCAGCCATCATTTGAGAGGACCATTTTAACTACATATATGCTTAGATCTTTCAACAATTAAGAAATACAAAATCTTTTCGCACGGACTGCGGAAAAGGGGTCATTAATATGTGTATGACACAAAACATTTATAGTACACTTTAGGAGTTGTAAGTAATTTACCTCAACAGGTAGAACAAAAAAAACAGAGACTTGTTGCAATTTCGGCAGCCCCTGGTATGAGTGGAATTCAAGTTCATTTAGACATAACATGCTGATATGTGTAGTTTTTCGAGAAATTAAAAGAAAATAATGAGTTTTTTGTGTTTTGCTACAAACATGTTCTTGGATTAATTTGCACTTTTTTAACGGTAGAATCATCAAATTTGGCAATAATGTACCTCTGGGGATAGGTAAAACAATACAAAAAAAAATTGGTGTGGCTCGCCTGGTTCGGCACTTGGAGTGAAAACATTTTCTCCCATATGATTTTTTTAAAATCCTACAGGATTTTCAGAAATCCTATAGAATAAAGTCATAATCCCATAGGATATTTTTAATATCCTACAGGATATTAAAATCCTATGGGATTTATAATCCCTTAGGAGAATAAAAATATCCTACAGGATATATTTTCTCCCTTAGGACTTAAAAAATCCCTTAGGAGAAATAAAAGCATTTCCTACAGGATATTTGTCTAATAATAT